GGAGGCCTGTGGGCCTAGCGAGCTGAATGCTGAAATCTTGGATGCTCTAATATTGGGATTCTAGAAATATCTTGTTTACTAAAACTCAGTGGTGTTGACATTTAAAACGTACACCGGTGTTAAATATTTTTTAATCGTGCAGCTGTCCGCTGATGGTTTAATTATTTTTTTATGGCCATCCAGTAACCCAATTAACACATACAGTGGCCGTGCTGTATTTATCTGGCCAAAACACTGGCTAGAACGTCAGGCGACCTCAGGGCCACAATCTGTGTGTGCATCTGTGTGTGTATCTGTGCGTGTGTATCTGTGTGTGTGCGTCTGTGTGTGTGCATCTGTGTGAGAGCATCTGTGTGTGCATCTGTGTGAGAGCATGTGTGTGAGAGCATTGATGCAATCAAGGACGGTAATGGATTGACGCCACTTTGATTAGCCGGGGTGCCTGAGCCAGTCACAGTTTAATCAACATCAAGTAATTTAAGCCTAGGTACACGCACACCATACACATACAAACATACAGACATGCATACAACATACACAAACTACACACCGTACGCATACACATATACTAATACAGACATGTAGACATATACGACATCCACAAAGTACACACCATCCGCGCATATATATATATATATATATATATATATATATATATATATATATATATATATATATATATATATATATATATATATATATATATATATATATATTTATTTATTTATTTATTTATTTATATATATATATACAAACAACAAAAATAAGCACAACACATATATACAAACCAAACATCACATACAAGCACACATACACACCATAAACACGTATATACAAAACACACGCAACACACAGTCACACATACACACAACTCCCACGTAACAAATACATATACACATCTATACATATACAATTATACGAATAAATACATTTGTTTATTTATTTATTTATATCAACTCAACAACTTCAACTTATTTAAATCTAGGCACATACACTCACACACACATACAAACCTACATATACACACACAATGCAAGATCTTGGCCATTCAATTTGGGAGCTTACATTTTGTGAGAATCAAAGTTCCCTGGCAAGACCGCTTCAATTGCAAGCCAGCTTGATACTGTATTTTTTTTTGTCCAAGTCTCCACAAATAAAACTTTTTACACTCCGCCCCAGCCGTTGAGATTTAGTTAAATCTGACAACAATACCCGACCAAAAGACAATTTTCTTGTACGACTAAGCTGATGAGATTACTTTAATTTGAACTAGACTACCAACTATTAAGCCACCGCCCCCAAAAGGTCACGAAGGAAGCTAGAACTGCAAGATTAAAAAACGTCTGCGATGTTTCAATACATAAATGATAAAAATTGCCTTGCTTGTATGAAAAGCTTTTATCATGGAAACAATTTTTTCTTCCTCTCCACCGCCACCATTAGAGGAAATTACTAAAATTTCTGATTGCGGCACTGTAGGGACAGATAGCCCCACCCCTACTCCCCACCCCCTCAAAAACATCCCCAGAAATCCACCCGTATTTCCCTAGCTGAATTATTATTGGTTTTTTTCTTTTTTTTAAACTGCGTTTTAAAATTGTATTTATCCGTTCAGAAATATTTGACCAGCTGCTGTTTCCTCATGTCCTCTCCCCTCACCCCCCCCCCCCCCCCAGACAGCCAAGCCCCGGACTGTGTGTGAGTAGTTTGGGCCCTGAAGCTGAAATCTCTACAAGGCGAAATGGTTTTTTTTAATCTCTTTGCTCTTTCTTTTCTTGTGTACAGTTTTTGTAGGTTATCTGCGTTTAAACTGTTTTTTGAGTTCCAATCGTTCCAATATTCATACACGTGTTCCATGTTAATCCAATCAACGTTAGGAATTAGCGTAGACGGCTGGCACAATGGAAACTAGTGGGCCCGAGTGACGCCTAATGGAGTTATGGCTAATTTTATCGAATACACTAGACGACCTGTTATCCATTGGATAACTGTTTTTCGACAGCGTAGCAAGAACCAAACATTTTTCGAAACAGTGCAAATTCTAAAAGCTCAAAAGCCAGATCGTTATTCTTATTCACCATTGCCCCCTAAGTCTTCCCTAACAAAAATTTATCTTTAAAATGTAGGCATCCACTTGGCATGTCTCTACGTATCCACTGAAGGACACACAAGAGACACAACTCCATAGCACTTCAGTTACCACCCCACCCAATGTTCATTCGATCTATCCGACAACAAACCCGAGCCTTCCCCCCCCCCCAAATGGATTTCAAACGTACCACAGTGCCCATTACTTCTCTAACCCCCCCCCCCCCTTTTCCCACTTGCATGAATATCTCCCTCCTTATAAAAGTTTTTATTGTTGAAATTTACTTTATTTGATTGGGAATTTGAGTGGGAATTTGAGTGGGAATTCCCACATGACGTCATTAACTTTGAGCTAAAAATAGCGAATAGCTTTGCACTCACGGTGGCCCTGAAGGGAGAATAAACACCGACATTAGTGCTTTAAATTATCGTATGTAACTTTTATTCTTTAGAATTTAAATTATCGTATGTAACTTTTATTCTTTAGAATTTAAATTATCGTATGTAACTTTTATTCTTTAGAATCATAATTTAGAATTAATTTCAATCAGCGACAAAATAATTAAGAAACAGGTTCATATTACTGTCGGATTTAAATTTAGAAAAAAGGGCATATTAGATCTAGTCATGTTCGAATCTTACTGCAAGGCCGTTGTATTTTTTTCCACGATAAGTGATGATAAAAATCCTTGGAGAAATCTTAGTTTTAGATGGTTGAATTTGGTATCAAAAGAAACTAGCTCAGCTTTGTTACTTATAATTCTTATACCAGTAATTTACTTGAAATATGCGAGAGAAAACATCTAGAAATGAGGAGCACTTTGAGTGAGCAGCGGAGGTTTGATAACTGGGGACGGCAACCTATCTGGGAGGGAAAACTCCAAAATTAAACAACTGCTGCTTTGTGGTTTGTTCTTGGATGGAATAAAATGCTATGGAAGCGAATCCAAAAATAAATACTAAATTGTTTTGGAGGAAATCCCTTCCAACATTACAATTAAGAACGAAGAAGAAGAGAAGAAAGACTTTCAAACAGTTAAGATTTGAGGAAGTGAATAAAACGCATTGAAAGATGTATCAGATATTGAGTGCTTGATAAACAAAGCAATATTTCAGCGAATGTTGATATCGCTCAATAGGCTGGCATGTCCTTCCTGGAATATTTATGCATAAAAAATACGTTTGCTAAATAAGTGACAGCTCGCGTGATGCGTGTTTTTTTTTATGTTGTGGCTTTTGTGGATATAGGCATTTATGGGAAAATGTGGGAATTTATGGGAACTTATGGGAACTTATGGGCTCTCACATCAGAACCCCGGAGTGAATAAAACAATAATGACAACGGGTTATTTGCGTTACTGTTATATTATGTCGTGTGGCATTCCAGGTCTAGACTGGAGTATATTTAAAGGAATAAAACGTTAGTAATTTTTACCCAGTAAGTGTATATATATATATATATATATATATATATATATATATATATATATATATATATATATATATATACTTGTATACTTATATGTATATATGAATATTCATATATTTATGCATATATAGGTATATATATATATATATATATATATATATATATATATATATATATATATATATATATATATATATATATATATATATATATATATATATATATATATATATATTCCTTTATTCAGATAGCTTCATCTTTATTCTGCTGTATACTTTAAAAAAAAACTTAAATCATCTTTTTTTAGTTTGTTCTGTTGTCTGGGATTGCTTAGCTGTCTGGCTAGCAGCTGTCTGAAACTTCCCACTAGCGTTTCTCTAAGAAGACAGTCGTTGCCTTATTTTTACAAGCTTTTATTTAACTCACTTCCTCTGTCTGTCTTGACGGAAACGCAGGAGTGAAAATTCGGACAGTTCTACTTGACCGATACGATTCAAAGTTGGCACGTGGGTCAAGACATGAAGACAATGCAACCTGAAACTAAATTTGACTTAATTGGATGCCTAATTAATTTTTTATGAATTAATTAAAATTTGGACCGAATTAGTAGGCATGTCTAGCCAACCACACCACACGCGTCATCACCTTCAATAGCTGCGCCATCACGTAATGGCTGCGTTCAAAAACCATTGCGCGCCTACTGAACGTGATGTTCAGTAGGCGCGCAATGGTTTTTAGTCATGTAACTCTATTGTAAATAAAACATGTAAAGTACTGAAAAAAAAATTCATAAAAAACGTTTTAATAACAAGCTTTTATGTAATGATGCACTAAAAAGTAGAAAATAAATTATAGACTACTATTTAAATAACTATAAAGAAAAGCGTGGGTCACTTTAGTATCTATTGGATACCTTTACTAATGTTAAGGAAGACACCCACGTTTTTCTTTATAGTTATTTAAATAGTAGTCTATAATTTATTTTCTACTTCTTTAGTGCATCATTACATAAAAGCTTGTTATTAAAACGTTTTTTATGAATTTTTTTTCCGATTTGTGTTCATGTTTTCTAGTTGAACTAAAACAACGACAAAACATTTTTACTTTTCTAGTAAGTCATAAAAATCATGCAACCGGGTTTATATTAACTTGAAATATATTTTTTTTTCTGTACCTTAAGGCGAACTAAGATTGTCAAAGCTATCCTCAAAGTAAATTAAATTATCAAACTTTCTGGAGTCAAAGGTGACAGCATTAGGTAATTAATCTCCTTGAACTCGATAGCATTATTTACTCGCCATCATTTTCATCATCAATCTCATCCTTTACAAAAACTCTCCCCAACACCGTGTAATTATAAATCAAGTTAGCACAGTGTGTTGTGCACATTAAAACTATTCTAGCCAGAAAAAATACTTCAACACTACAATGAAACAGACGAAATAAAAAAAAAATGATCCGCGTACCATTGGACCAGGTGGCGTCGTGCGCTCTCTGTCACGGGGAGGGGAAGGAACTCGCTGTGTTCGGATTTCTCTCCCTTCTTTCGGCTGGCGATAGTTGTGAGCCGCCCGGCCTGCTAGTGTTGAGCCAATAGGCGATCATTATTGCTTTTACTTATCAATAGAACACACGTACACACACACGTGCACACACACGTACACACACACGTGACTATGACGACACGAGGTTGAAGGCATGGGTGACTGTGTTTTGTTGAATTGGACTCGAATCGTCGAACTTTTCATCGTTGTTTTCATCGTCGTGTGCCATGCCAACGAGAACGCCAAACGCCTGTACGATGACCTGTTGCGAAGGAGTGGTTACAACAAACTTATTCGGCCAGTCGGCAACAACACGGACAAGCTTGTGGTCAAGATGGGTATTCGATTATCACAGCTTATCGATATCGTAAGTAGAGAATAATCGATTTCTTTCATTTCATGTACATATTTTTATAGTTTGTTTGTAGTATTGGTTTACTGTAGTCTGCCAATGTTAAACGTAAACACGCACCAACCAATCAGCAGGCAGCAGTATCGATACTGATATATGATTGGACACGGGGAGTGTGTAAGCCCCGAGTCACGTGACTTCGGATACTGCGTTGTCCCTGACTGGATCTATAGATCAATTCAGCTTAGAACATTCATCCTTTGTTGTGTTTTATATATCTATATGCTCAATGATGGAAACACAACATACAACATATGAATGTGTTTACTGTTTTAATGTTCTGAAACACAACATAACATTTTATAACACTGACATATGTTGCATACAACATAACGTCGTATTTATCTGTATTGATTCTATATCAGTTATACTTCTGATTTATTTTAACGTTCGCTTCGAAGATATGACAAAGACACCACACCCACACAACCAGATGACACATAATACCACAACACAATAACACAAACAGATAAAACATAACACGTAACACAACCACACAACTTTACGACACATCACACAACCACATAGCACAACCACACAACCACATGATGCATAACACCACATCACATTTTCACCACGACACACTTCGCACAACACACCTTACAACAACACACCTCACATCACAACACAATGACACAACACACCGCACACCACCTCACACACACCTCACACTACGAATATAGGACAGCCACTAGACGCTCCTGATACAAAAATTTTATCTACCTATTTTTACTCACCTTTTTGTAAACTGGGTCACCTGTGTAAGCACGCGCAAGGTAGACACGTTGTACGGTAAAAACTCGAGGCTCACATAGGTGAGCATATCTTAGAGGGCTCTCAGTGTAAATATGATCCAGCACTTTGTTCAGCTGAGGCTCATATAGGTGAACATATCTTAGACTTTTAGAAGGCTCTCAGTGTAAATATAATACAGCACTTTGTTCAGAACTGCTTTACATTTTTTGCCTACATTCCGCAGCACCTATCATTTACAGGATTTTGTACATAATTGTACACATTCTTAAGAATATATGTGTATAATTTACAGCCCTTTCGTGTACAATTCTTGTATATAATGTACATACCTTTGGTGCTTACTCTATATGAAAAATCTACAGCACCTAAGTACACAATTAATTGTAAAAAAGAAAATTAGTACACAATTTTCGTTTATAATATGTTGCATTTGGTGTCAAACTTAATTTGTGTTTTAAATAATTATTTTTTTAATAAAAAGACTGGCTCTGAAGGCTGTATACTAGTTATAGAAAGACAATCTTATACTTCTATATAAGGACACACTTATAGCTGTATGCAACTGCACACTTCTATTAAATGACACACTTATAGCTGTATTAAAAAAAACACTTATAGCTGTATAGAATGACACACTCATAGCTATATAGAATAACACACTTATAGTTGTATGGAATTGCGCACTTATAGCTGTATAAAAAACACTTATAGCTCTAAAAATAACACAGCTATAGCTATATAGAATGAAACATCTATAGTTGTATAGAATGACACACTTATACCTGTCTCGAATGACACACTTATAGCTGTATAGAATGACACACCTGTAGCTGTACAGAATGACACACTTATAGCTGTATGGAATGACACACCTATAGCTGTATAGAATGACACACTTATAACTATATAGAATGACACACCTATAGCTGTATAGAATGACACACCTATATCTTCACAGAATGACACACTTATAGCTGTATAGAATGACACACCTATAGCTTTATAGAATAACACACTTATAGGTTAATAGATGAACATCAGTACAACTAGGTCTAACCAATCAATTCAGATTAAATTACCAATTTAGTTTTAAAAATCAATAGAATTAGTCTCAAGCAGTTAGCCTGGTAGTTAAAGACGTTAGACCGCCAGTGGCTTGGTCAATTTTGTGAATGGCTGGTCTTTTTGAGGCCCAGCTGACTTTTTCAGTGACCTAGTCTCAAATGACCTAGACTTTTAGTGACCTGTCTGTTAGTGACCTAGTCAGTTAATGACCTAGTCTGTTAATGAGTCTTCTAGTGACCTAGTATGTTAGTAACATAGACTGTTAAAGACCTAGTCTTTTAGTTACCTTGTCTGTTAGTAACCTTGTCTGTTAGTTAATGCGTTTAGTGATATAGTCTATTAGTGACCTAGTGTATTAGAAGACCTTGTCTACTAATGACCCAGTATGTTAGTAACCTTGACTTTAAGTGACCTAGCCTGTTAAGTGACCTAGTATTTACTTGGCCTTGACTTTAAGTGACCTAGTATGTTAGTGGCCTAGTAACTAATGACCTTGAAAGTAATTAAGTCTATTAGTGTTCTATCCAGCCTAGTGACCTAGTCCGCTGTTACTAAATATATGTGTGACCTAGTTATCCTATTGGCTTAGTGTAGTAAATCTCACACATGTATCGAGGCTATCCAGGTCATTGTTTTTGTTGCATGACCTTGTGACGGTGCACAACGGAAGTGCCAAGAGAGCACAGCCATTTTGAACCTCAGATTTTTCTGCTAGAAATTATTCAGACAAATTTTTAACACATCTTAATTACTGGCCAAAAAACAACCTTGAACACTCTAACTATTTAAGTTTTTAGCGTAATGTGGACAAAATAATGTTTTTCAAAACATCTTTAAAGAAATCGCAAACAATATGAAATTCCTGTAAATATGGAAGCTCCATGTAAAGTATTCAATTTTGTTTTAATTTGCTTCAATGTGGAAAATATTAATGCGTTCATCGTATACTTCAAGAAAATATGTATAGATGTACCAGTTGCAAGAATAGACAAAGTCTTAGGTTAAAATTATGTAGGGCCTTAAGGTGGTTTTAATCCTATTTCATTTACTCTAGCTCATTGCATCAATAGTTAGAATCACGGTGACAGTGGTTTATAGCATTGGTGGTTTTTCTGGGTAGTCCTGTACCCAACATGGCTGGTATAGACAGATCCTGTACCCAACATGGCTGGTATAGACAGATCCTGTACCCAACATGGCTGGTATAGACAGATCCTGTACCCAACATGGCTGGTATAGACAGATGCTGTACCCAACATGGCTGGTATAGACAGATCCTGTACCCAACATGGCTTGTATAGACAGATCCTGTACCCAACAAAACATGGCTGGTATAGACAGATCCTGTACCCAACATGGCTGGTATAGACATATGCTGTACCCAACATGGCTGGTAAAGACAGATCCTGTACCCAACAAAACATGGCTGGTATAGACAGATGCTGTACCCAACATGGCTGGTATAGACAGATCCTGTACCCAACATGGCTGGTATAGACAGATGCTGTACCCAACAAAACATGGCTGGTATAGACAGATCCTGTACCCAACATGGCTGGTATAGACAGATCCTGTACCCAACATGGCTGGTATAGACAGATCCTGTACCCAACATGGCTGGTATAGACAGATCCTGTACCCAACATGGCTGGTATAGACAGATGCTGTACCCAACATGGCTGGTAAAGACAGATCCTGTACCCAACAAAACATGGCTGGTATAGACAGATCCTGTACTCAACAAAACATGGCTGGTATAGACAGATGCTGTACCCAACAAAACATGGCTGGTATAGACAGATGCTGTACCCAACAAAACATGGCTTGTATAGACAGATCCTGTACCCAATAAAACATGGCTGGTATAGACAGATGCTGTACCCAACATGGCTGGTATAGACAGATCCTGTACCCAACATGGCTGGTATAGACAGATGCTGTACCCAATAGTCTGAATCAAGGTGCAGTGTTTTATAGCATTGGTGGTTTTTTCTGAAAAGTCGCTTTCTACATCCTTGTACCCCAAAAAGCATAGCTGGTATAGACAGATCCTGTACCCAACATGGCTGGTATAGACAGATCCTGTACCCAACATGGCGGGTATAGAAGCAGCAAAGAGCGCCTGTAATGTACTGCATTTATCCGCACTTTTCTGTGTGTTCCGGTATTGGGAAAACCCGCTAAGACGTTTCGTTGGATGGAACGGTTAAAAGCTCAAGGCTCTTGGGTCTTAATTTCAAATTGATTTATAATCCCGCCAAATTCTATGGAGGCGTTGGAGTGCCTGAATAGCCCCGTCTGCCCGCCCCCCCTCTCGCATGAGACGCATTCCCCCCCCCCTAGTCTGCATCTATTTGCAGCCGTTCCTCAATGGATCTAACAACATCCAACCTTCGTGTTGGAGGGTAAATGGAAATCAATTAAATTAATGAGTTTGTTTAGCGCATGTATTTATCTCTAACTATCATTAAATATATCTATTTAGTATGTTTTTTTCTTGAATTCCAAGAAAGATATTCAAAGTACCCAATTGGCCATCTGCTTCCATATATACATATATATATATATATGTATATGTATATATATATATATATATATATATATATATATATATATATATATATATATATATATATATATATATATATATATATATATATATATATATATATATATATATATATATATATATATATATATATATATATATATATATATATATATATATATATATATATATATATATATATATATATATATATATATATATATATATATATACATACATATGTATATATATATATTTTTTAATATATATATATATATAATGTATATAATGTATATAATGTATATATATATACATATGTATATATATATATATTTTTTAATATATATATATATATATATATATATATATATATATATATATATATATATATATATATATATATATATATATATATATATATATATATACATATATCCTAGTAATTACTTAGATAGGAGGTCATTGCTGGTATTTAATGATAGTCCTAGCAATCTTGAAATATATTGACCATCCTGAAATGTTCTAAAAAACTTAGCAGCAATAGAGGCTTCGAATATACTTATATTTTTAGATTAGATTTGAAACA